GACATCTGTAGAGCTCTCTGAACAAACACAGCTGAGTACATATTTTTCCCAAGTGGATAAGGAACATTCTTTTAAGATAGGCCATATGGTATGCCACTAAAAAAATAAATACACCTCTGGGTGCTTGGCTGGCTCAGTTGAAAGAGCATTGACTCTTGATCTTGGGGTTGTGAGTTTGAGCCCCACGTTGGGTGTAAATTTTACTTAAATAAACCTTTTTTTTAAAAACACCTCAATACATTTTAAAAAGTTTAAAATTATACAAAGTATGTTCTCTGACTGCAATGGAATGAAGTTAGAAATCAATAACAAAAAGAAATTTGGGATATTCACAACTGTGAAATTTAACAATTTACTCTTATGTAACCAGTGTGTCAAAGAACAACTCTAAAGAGAAATCAGAAAATACTTTGAGATGAGAGAGAATGAAGACATGACATACCACATCTTATGAGATGCAGCTAAAGTAGTGCTTAGTGGGAAATTCATAGTTGTAATTGCCTGAATTGAAAAAGAAGAAAAAAAAATGTTTTTTAAGAAGATCCCAATTCAGTAACTTTATCTTCCACCTTAAGGCACTGGAAAAAGAAGAGCTAACTCACACCAAAGCAAGCAGATACAAGGGAAATAATAAAGATTAGAGCAGAAATGAATCCAATAGAGAATGTGCAAACAGTAAAGCAAATGAGTGAAACCAAATGATGATTCATTGACAAACCTGTAGTGAGATTGGCCAAGTAAAACAGGAAGAAGGCTCAAGTCAGCAAAATTAGGAATAGAAGAAGGGACTACTAACTACAGAATTAAAAAGGGTCATAAGGGAAAACTGTGAACAACTGTCTGCCAAAAATTAGACAATTTAGGTGAAATAAATTCCTAGAAAGGCACAAACTATTAGAGTTGACTAGAGGAAATATAACATCTGAATAGACCTATAACAAGTAAGTAAATTGAAGAAGAAAACGTAATAAACTAACCACAATGAAAAGCCCAGACCCATATAGCTTCCGTAGTGAATACTGACAAACGTTTAAGAAGGAATTAATGCCAGTCTTCACAAATGTCCAAAATATAGAAGAGGAAGAAACACTTTCCAACCAATTCTTTGAGGCCAGTATTACCTCAACACCAAAACCAGACAAAAATATCAAGATAAATCAAGAAAATTATAAACCAATATCTCTTATGAATAAAGACACAAAAATCCTCAACAAAATTCTATCAAACTGAATCCAGCACCATATTAAAAGGAAGGTATACTGTGGCCAAGTAGGATTTATCCCAGGAATGCAAGGAAAAGTGAAAATCAATTAATATACCTTACTAGTCAAATAAAGGACAGAAACCATATTATCATCATGGTAGACATAGAAAAACATTTGACAAAAGTCAACACTCCTTTGTGATAAAGACATTCCTACTGCTACTTTTTGGTAGGAATAGCGAACTTCGTCAAAATCAAGAGCCATTCTTTCCCCCTAAAATCAGGAGCAAGGCAAGAATATCCACTTTCACTGCTTTGTTCAACATGAGTGGATTAACTCCAAATGTTTCAAAGATTAAAAGTAAGAGCTAAAATGAAAAAATTTCTTAGTGGAAAATGGGTAAATCTTTGCAACCTTGGTGTTGGCAATGGTTTCTTAAATATGGTTTCAAAAGCACAAGCAACTAAAGAAAAAAAAAGATAAATTGGAATTTAAATTGGATGGAGTGATGGAGATGTTTTAAAATTGAATGTGTTGATAGTTGCATAACTGAATATACTAAAAACTATCGAATTTCATGGTATGTGATTTATATTTCAGTTTTTTTTAATGTTTATTTACTTTTGAGAGAGAGAGAGAGAGAGAGAGAGAGAGAGAGAGAGAGAGAGTGGGGAGGGGCAGAGAGAGCCAGAGACACAGAATCCAAAGCAGGCTCCAGGCTCTGAGCTGTCAGCACAGAGCCCGACATCAGGCTCGAACCCGCAAGCCATGAGATCATGACCTGAGCCAAAGTCAGACACTCAATCAACTGAGCCACCCAGGTGCTCCTATGTGAACTATATTTCAAATGAAGAAAAGAAAATCAGGGGCCCCTGGGTGGTTCAGTCAGTTATGTGTCTGACTCTTGATTTCAGCTCAGGTCACGATCTCACGGTTTGCAGGATCGAGCCCGTGTTAGGCTCTGTGTTAAGAACGTGGAGCCTGCTTGGAAAATTCCCTCTCTCTCTCTCTCTGTGCCCCTTCCCTCCCCTGCACACTCTCTCTCTCAAAAATAAACTTAAAAAAATATAAACATCAAGAGGCAAACAAAACAAAACCCACTTTAATACACTTCACCAAAGAAGATATAAAAATGTTCAATAAGCTGGGGCACCCAGGTGGCTCAGTGGGTTGAGTGTCCAACTTTGGCTCAGGTCATGATCTCCTGGCTTATAAGTTTGAGCCCACATCGAGCTCGTTGCTTTCAGCCTATCAGTGCAGAGCTGGCTTCTGACCCTCTGTCCTCCTCTCTGTGGCCCTTCCCCACTTGTGCTCTCCCAAAAATAAGTAAATATTTTTTTAAATGTCCAATAAGCCATGGAAAGATACTAAGTATCATTATGATTCAGGAAAGTGCAAATTAAACCCATAAGGAGATACCACAACACACTAAACAGAACAACTAAAATTATAATGACTGAGAGTACCAACTGCTTACATTATAGAAATTCTCACTGACCTCATATCCCAGCCACTGATTAGCACAAGTACTTAACCCATAAGGACACTTCAGTTGTATCATAGTTCCTGCCATTATAGCCCTTTGGCAGCTTCTGTATCTACTTACCACTGTCGATACCTGGACCGCTGCGTAGAGCTGGCTGTTCACTTTGTAAAGTACGCAACCATGTACCTACAAATAAAACATGTTTATTTTATGAAAGTCAGGTCTTCACCTTTGGCTCTTGGGCGATTCCAAAAGTAGAAAGTAGGTTACTTGATGCTATTTTAGGTTTGTTTTCTTAAGTTTGCCATTAGTTGTTCTCTGTCTCCCCAGTAAATGGAAAATAAACCACTTTCTATGTTCCAAGCAACCATAATCCACAGTAGTTAACCATTTCCATTGTATGGATAAAAACTGCAGCTGAGAGAATCTTGATTTGCTCAAGGCAGGACACAGTGAAACCGCTGTTTGATCCCAGTCTGAGAGTTACAAAGCCCAGGTCCTATGGCCTATATTGAGGTCCCTTAAAGATAGTATATTGGATTCTTTTTACAACACACTTGCCTTTGAGTTTCAGAGTGATTTTTTTCAGAGTATATTTAATATTTATTCCACTGTAAAGAATCTGTGTTTAATTAATATATCTATGGAGTGCTTCCTGTATGTGGGTACTGTTTGTAGAGATGAATACATTGATCCAGACTTGTAGAAAGCTCAGAGTTTAGTAGAGAAGGCAAGTGTGCAAATAAACATTTTCAATACAGTAAGATAACTGCAGTGGGAGACGTCTTTAGTAAGCACAGTGGCTAATAAAAAAGGAAGTGATCAACTGCTGGAGTGGTTATTGAAGATGAGAAAATGGCATAGGACATGCAAGGATGGATGGGTAGGAGTTTGTCAGTTGGTCAGCTGACCTGTGGGTGTCTGTTTCTGTGTCATGACTAAGTGTGGAAACCATGTATGCATAAACATCAGTATTTGATTTAAGTAAATAACTACTTAAAGGTAGAAAAAATTCATTGTTGGCAGGAATGCTGTGTTCCTTTACACCTTTTTAATAATTAGCTTTGTGTTAAGATATAATTAAAACCTCTGAGCAAAATGCAGAAGCCTTAGAAGGGCAATGCTTTTTATTGGCATGCACTTTGTAAAACACACTGCAAAACAACCATTAGAGTTCTTTCATTCTGTTGCATCTGCTTTTTTGGAATTTAACGCTAACCAGGCAAGATGAAACAAAAATTTGCAAGTTCGTGAAGATTTTGCTTTGTTCCTTTTTCAAATTTTGCTGAACTTGATAAATGAATATACTTGGGATGCATGCTTCTCAGATTTTTAGGAGGAAAGCTTTAAATTACATCTGTGACTATTTTCTAGGTATATGTTGTTTCTCACACGTAGATGTTGTGTGGTCAGGTAGCAGTGGTTAGTTTCTGATGAAGCTACTATCAGATTATCAATAAATGTCTTATTAGAGCTAATTACAAATAATTTTTACAAATAATAATGGTAATTATTATTAAATATAATTATATTTATACTGTCTATATTAATAATAATTATATTTATAATTAGTAATTATAAATCACATTATAATATATTATTATGTTATATTATTATTATTATTCAGCTCTCTTATGTATTTCTTACTGTAGCCTTTTTTGTCTCTAATTTCATTATTCTTGGGATAAATGGGGCAAATTAAGAGGGAAATGGGAATCTTTCAGTGTCAGGTGTTTGACTCAGCCACCTTGTGCCACTTTTACTTATGGGCTGCATAGAGCAATAAGAAGGCCACCTGCTACCTGAAACGCGTTTTTGAAAGGGTACATAGAAAATTCTAGAAAATAGGGAATCTGCTCAGATAGTGACTGGCAGCTATTACAAAGGAAAAGCTGAGATTTTTGTGTTCTGTTTTGTTCTGTTCCTTTTTTTATCTTAGTTGCAATGGTTGATGTTTTGGTACTCCACAGCAAGCTAAGTATTATGTGGTGATGGCAGAGGTTTTGATACACTGCCATTTGGAAAAATGTATTTAAATATATACAGATGTCATGTAATAGTTTTAATGGCAATACTCCATGCACATTCATTTGATTGTGGCTTAGGGTAGTCGTTATCTTATGAAATGTATTACTATATGTATTTAGTAATATGTTCTAGATGAAACTATATACTATAGACAAAGAATTATACAAAAATAATATATTAAAGTCAGTGCCTTGTGGTTAATCCAAAATGTTTAAAAGGGAATACTTCCTTAAGTTTATGAATACAAGTCAAAGAAAGAAAAAAATATATTTCATTTTTAGATTATATAAATGGTGGAGAACTTTTTACTCATCTTTCTCAAAGAGAGCGTTTCACAGAGCACGAGGTGCGGATCTATGTTGGAGAGATTGTGCTTGCCCTCGAACATCTCCACAAGGTAAGATGCTCAGTCTTTGAGAGTTCTTTTCTTGAAAAAAAATCTATTTTAACTGAGGTAATGCTGGAGCTAAAGAGCTACTGTTTTAAACGTCATTGTCTTTGTGGAGATTGTGAAAGCACACTTACACACCGTTGCCAGTATTCTCAATTCTGTAGTTCCCTTTTTCAAAAATCATCTTTTTTTCTTGGTAGTTCCTGTGATACGGATTAAAAAGGTAGAATGTGAGCAGTTCTTTGGTTCTTGTTTATGAAAAATCCTAATGCTTATTACAAAGTACCATTAGAATAAAAGCTTTTCATTCTTAAAATAACCTTTGAAATAAAACCACAAGTCATAATCTATATTTGCTTAGTTGTGACTTACTCCGTTGCAGACTCTGCCTGTTTGTTTGCAGGGTATATTTCCTGATTAAGTTGGAGAATATGAGTTTTTGGAAAGAAGCGCCTGCCACACTACCCAGCTACCCCGCTGTCCCACTCTGGTCTGCCTTTGCCTTTGTTTTGCCCCTGGGGCCCCCCTCTTGTTCCCTCTCTGTCCCTCCTCTTCCATTGTCTCCATGTAGCGTGAACTCAGTTGCTAAAAACTTTGAGTGGAATTCATGCCTGTGCTGCTGTTTGAACTCCATAAAATCCATTCGAACTTTAAAAATATATATATTATTTCAGATACTATTAATCTTGATTGGAGAAATTTTGACTAAATTTTTTTTAACTTAATGAGGATGGATTATTATAGAAGCAGTTAGCTGTGTAGACCAAGCGTGTGTGTATTTCCTCAGAAATAGAAAGTATTTGAGTAATTTTCATCAAAGTGTATGAGATCATGAGGCCATCACGACTTGAGTCGCTACATTAGGATGAGACAGGTGCATTGTAGAGCTACTATTCTTTGTCGTGAATTCAGATCCTGCACTGGATTAGACATGAACAGGGATTAAAGTGGTGTTTATGGAGCATGGACAGGAGTGGAGAGAGATGAAGGAAAAGGCAGGGAAGAGGGAGGAAAATTTTAAAGTGGCAAGGAGACTGGAATTGCAAGATGGAGGCAATGGACGGGAGAGGCTGTGAGAAAAGATGGTGAGAAGATGCAAGCACAGAAGGAGGGGATCAAGGAAAGGGGACATCTAGAGCAGAACAGAGCCAGGACTGGATGGGGGGGTGGGGGTGGTCAGAGCAGGAGTCTTACAGAGAGTGGATGAAAATGTATAAGAACAGGAGGGAAAGAGAAAAGGCCCTGGTGGGCATGGGGGGTGGGGCTGCAGTGCGTGGACCAAAGGGACAGAGGAGCAGGAAGGGAGCTGACAGACATTCCTTTGGGTGGAGTTGTCCTGGGGTGGCCAGCTTTTGCTGGTTGAGTATCCGTGGGATATAAAGCAGTTAGGGCATCTTCATATATGAACCAAATTGGGCCCAGGAATGGGTTGAAAAGATCTTGGAGTTTTATGCTTAGGTGTAAGTTTTTATAATATAAAAACGATGGTAGAAATCACCATAAATAACCAGAGTAGAAACAAGCAAAACAAATACAAAGCTCCAATGGGTAAGCTACTAAATTCAGTTTTTAATTTGTGTGAAATCTTTAATTCTGTTAATTCTGTTTATTAAAGAAAAAAATCCATGAACACCTGTTATTATTAAAACAGGGTAATCAGAAGTAGAAAACCTGATGAATACTGGATATACATGGAATTGATGTAGAGTGAAAGTAATGTAGCAAATCAGATCTCAGCTAAGTTTCTCTTAATCTTACTACCCTAAAAAGATAAATGCAAAGAGATACAACAGGAAGCCAGGAATATTAACCTTGACACAGCTGCTAACATTGAGTTTCCTGAGAAGAGACAAAAATGAGAGTTTCCTTGGAAGTGATGAGGTGAAGCAGATGGTAAATAATTTATTTCTAAAATTGTTTTCAAAGAGTTTGTTTCAAAGAAAAAAAAGTCACACTGGCTGTTAGATGTTCATGAAGCTTCGAGTCAAATGTCTGCTCGGACTGCAGATATTATCCTCTCTTTCGTGTAGAACACTGAAGTTCCAGGAGGGAAATTGCCTAGCATGTTTCCTTCTGTAATTTTTTGTTTCAATTTTAAGAAATTAGTACGAATCTGCTTTTTCATATACTTAATGTTGTAGAAAGCAGGGTTTCTAAGTTTAAAAACATTTAATTTAGGCTGACATAACATGAAATATGCAATGTACATATATCAAGAACTTATATGACTTGTGTAGATTTACTTAGCTGAAGAAATAGCTGAAGTGTTTTACTGTAACACATGCAAAACAAAATGGAGGGATATATAAATGTTATCTAATTGACTTGTTGCTTATTTAGAAGCCTATTCAACAAGCCTTTATTAATTATCTATTTGATGGTTTGCAAGATACTAGATAAATGTGAAGAACAGAGTTAGAGTATGGTTATATCAAGACAAGGAGGAAACACCTAGAAAATATCAGTTATTTTTAGATAAGTGCAATGTATGTGTAGGTGCTGTAAGAAGAAAAAGAAAGACATGACCAGCGTGGAATCTGGTTAGTCAGGAAAGCCTCCGAATCCATTAGCAAGTGATGGACACGAATTGGCTAAAAGTACCCGAAGAAGATCATGTACAGTGAGGATTAGATAATTAAGAAGATAGGAGGAAGCAACAGTCAACAGAAAGACCCCACAGAAGCTGGTCCAACAAAGATGGACCTTCGTTACACAAAGAAGGAAGAGTTAGGAGGTAGGAGAGGTCCAGCGAGCCCAGCAGATGAGCCCTGAGATAGAGGAATTCACATTTGCCATGGCCAGTCACTAAGAGCCATTAGTGCATCCTGAGCAGGAGAATCCTTTTTTTGGTTTGTTTTTAAGGTAGACAAAGACTTTCCTAATTTATTTTTTGGAAACTGTTATTTTAAAATGCATATTTGTTTGTTTTTACAGTTGGGGATTATATACCGTGACATTAAGCTTGAGAACATTCTACTTGATTCTAATGGCCACGTGGTGCTGACAGATTTTGGTCTGAGTAAGGAGTTTGTGGCTGAAGAAGTGAGTATTATATTTTAATTTGAAGTTAGTAACAATGGAATGTACACAATGATAAAAAATGAGCTGTAGAAGAAGCATTTGTCAGGATAGTACCATATGGATTATGGATTTTTGGGGCAGGTTTGCCTAGAGGAACATCTTGACCTGAATGACTGTAAAGAGTTTTAGCTTAAATTACCATGGAACATGGAACCATCTTGCTAGAATTGCAGTAAACATTTAATGAATATATCAGAATTCCCCAGTCTAAAACAAATCAAAACTATGCATTTAACTTTCCCTATAAAATATGACTGAAAATTTTGAATAATCCTTTGGGCCCTTTAGGAGAATTATGGCTTAAGTGATAACCAGTGGACCATTACAAAACAAAGGACATACAGTTTACATTATATTTACAAAGTAGGACATGTTGTGATGGCCCTTCGAATTCACTTGACAAAAATGACAAGGATCTACTAGACCTACTTCTTCAACAATCTAAAATTATTGAAGTAATTTGTGATAGCTGAACTAAAATTTGATAGCTAACGTGCAGATTTTGAATATGGAGGACCTTGCACTTTCAGTAGAACTCTTTATTATTACAGGTGCATTTAATGACATTTAAAACTGTACATCTAGTTCTAGTTAAATACTCCTCATGTAGCAGCTGTAATAAAAATTATATTTTTACACTACTGGTTATGCAAGATAACTAGATGAATTTGAATGCCAATTCATTTTTATCTAAGAAATTATTAGTTAGAGTACAGAATCACAGTGGAATTTTTGTAGTGAAGAACTTTGTGGTTGTAAAACACATTGGTCTTGAATTCCAAATTAGGTGTATCTATTTCTGAACATTTGCTTTTTGGACTATTGCCCATGTAGTTCTAAGTGAATTTGATAAGTGCTGAAATCATAAAATCTAAAGATCTCAACTTTTTATCATATCTGTATTCATTCAGTTCACTTATTAAGTATTGACCACCTCTACTATGCTAGGTACTGGATAATGCAGTAGTGAATAAGATGCCTTCATGAAGTTACGGTTATAATTATATTGATTATCTTTGATGGGACAACCATTGTTATAAAATAGATGAATTTTTGAGGAATTTACTTCAAAGTTTGATTTTTAAGACTTTTTCTCCTTTGTAAAACTATTAGTGGCAATGTCAGTAAAATGTGACAGATTAAATACATTTACTGTTGCTTCCTCATTAAACCCCATAAACAAAAGTAAAGGAGTAAAATAGGTATGTACTCAGAAAAGATGAAAGAATATAGCAACCAAATTTTGGAAGACGGACAGCAGGAATACTACTTGTAGCCAATTTAAGCATCCCTGATCACAGTTGAATCCTAAGCTAGCAACGTGAGAAGCCCCAAGGCAAACTAATTTGCACTTCTGGCCCCCAGAAAGGTTCAGGACTCCCTCAGAGTAGGAACACAGGTGCCATGGGACATAGGAGGGTTGTTTGGAAGTCTATATAAGAAACAGGTAGCCTCCGGGTCTCTGTCTCCCCTATTCACCCAGGCAGCCATGCTTCCCTTACCTTCCAGGAAGACTGAAAGGGTTAAGTAGAAAGACTAGATTCAGGGACGAGGGGCTGAAGGTGAGGCCACAACAAGGAAACTACTGTTTCCTTGGGGTGAAAAATGACACAGCGAACCATGGAGCTCCCACGGCCTCTTTCTGCCACTTTGTCCTGAGAACACGTCTTCCCAGACAGGAGTTTGGAGAATTCCTCTCTGAGAAACTGAAAACAAAACCTGCAGATGCTATCAGTTGGTGGTGTTGCTAGTGAAGTAGCCCGGCCAGATCTTTCTACAGAGATGTCTGGGACTTGACGAGCTCAGCGTGTGCCCCGGAACCATGTTTGTGATGATGTCACAACTTCTGTTTCTATTTTGATTTCAGTATATTTCACCGTAATTCGTTTCTTTTGTCTGTATTGCAATATGATTAGTTTCCTCTG